CCCCAAGTGAGCAGAACGTTTTTAGTCCCAAGTGTAAAATTGAAAAGGATGCTGCGCTACAAGACGCTCTGGCGCTGATATGCGCCTTTGGCTGTGATAAGCGGGACACCCAAAGATGCTGACCTTATGAAAGAAGCTTTAAAGTGTACAGCCGAACTTGCTGCATAGACTTTTTTTATCAGGCGTTTCCAAGGGAATGGGGTGGATCCCACTATACATCTATATCATGCTATAAGCTATATGTATCCATATTCGTATTCACGAATCTGTGTTTATGCATATGTATATATATATATATATATGTATATATATATGTATATATAGGTATATATGTATATGTATGCAACTTACTCGTGGCCAGTAGTGGGAAAGGGAAGTGGGTTACAAAGACGATAAGAAAGGATCATATCGCGACGATTATGAGGATCGCTAAGGTAAGCCCCAAACCCTAAAGCCTAAACACCAAGCCCTGAATCCCTGAAGCCTAAATCCTAAAAGACCTATCCGCACGTGCTAAACTCTGAAGTGGGTTGCTACTGAGGAACTTAACTAAGGTACCTCTATATGTACGTAAAGTGAACAGTACAGTTTCCGTCTACTGGCAATTTAACTTAAGTTCCCCTAAGCCCGCGACAGCCCCAACCCTGAAGCCCAAACTCAGGTTTTGAACGAGACTCCATCCTGGAGCATTGCGCCAGCGCCGAGTTTTGGCTTAACAGCGGGTCGCTTTCGGATTACAAGCCTTAGACCATAAACCTTTAACTAGGGCTTAGGGCTATAGCGTTGTAAGAGCTCAGGGTGTTAAAGGACGTCCAGAAATTTGCTTATCCACAAAACACTGTTTATATATGCGCACACATACACCCAATTTTCAGCCAAAAAGCTTGTAATGGACATTTCCATCACGCATATTAAGGTGTTTGGCAGTTTGAAAAGTAAGTGGCTGCTTTTCTTGGCGCACCGAAATATGAGCCATAGCCTAAACGCCTAGTATCCTTAACGACCCCAAAAATATTCCCCGATATAGAACCCCCCTTTAAGGAGTTTAGACTATGTATAGCTCATATCGTTTCCTCTGACCCAAAGCCCCCAAACCCTCATGTGAACCTCCCTTCGAACCCAATCCTAAACGATTTACCAAATATGAGGCTTTTGGTAAGCCCAGATGATCGGGATTCCAAGGGAAAGCAAAATCCAAATGGACCGAAGCCTGGGGGCTTGTGCGGATGTGGTTCAGGCTGAGGGTCTAGTCTCCCATGAACCAAAAGCCCTAAGCCCGAGTAAACCCCAAGCTAGCATGGGCCTTTGTACTGCCCCGCTCTTCTGGACACAACTTTGAGACCCTAAGCCCTAAACCCAATCCACTAAACCCTAAAGCATTGAACCCTAAGCCATACTGCATAAAGCCTTAACGCTCAACCCTATAAACTTCAGTCGTTCCAGGGCCTGCTTGGGGGCTCCAGGTTCGCATGCGCAAATAACACCCCCTCCCTCTCAAATCCTCAAATTAGGGGCGTAGAGCCGTGATAGGTGTTAGGGTTTAGGGTGGGTTTGAGGATATTGGCTGACATGGGGGAGCTATAAATTCTGGTCGTAATTTGTAGGGTTTGGGGTTACCTGAACCTCCCAACATTAGGTTTGAGTTCAATGCGCAAGTCGTAAGCTTTTGAACCGTCCCACGAAAACCCTAAATCTACACATGGGGCATTTTGTTCGAATCCCTCCCTGACTTGCGTGTCAAGGACACCGGCCAGACTGGGGAAGTTGATTTTACGATTTTCCAACAGGCTTTGCAAGAGACTTGGTCGCAAGATTGCTGCTTGCCATGATCTTTTTCAAGTAGAACCTCGGATAATGCGTAACTCTATGCCCTCCTACCCCGCAAATACGCATATTCTGTTACTACAATGTGATACCCCCAAACTGTATCCTGACTACGTACTCCGCTGCACTACTCTCCAAGTTTCACTGAGGGGTTTTGGTGATTGCAGACTTTGGTCCTTCATCTTTTTGTGCTTGGGGCGTGTGTGGGGGGTCTTCCACACCTTAAATCCTAAACGCCCTAAAACTAAAACCCTCAACCGTCAACCTTCATTCCTAAGCGCTCAAACCTTTGAAGCCTGACTTCAACTGGAAACCCCAACCTTTTGCCTCTGAGACCTCATAGTCCCCCTTAAGTAGATAGAATATGGAGTATATGGGATTCTTCATATGATCTTGGGCACTTCCACATAAACCCTAAACCCTAAACCCTAAACCTCTATCTACTCAACGGGGACTGGAAGCGTTGAAACCTCCAGCTTCAGCCGCATGCCAAATACAATCTTTCATATCGGGGGGAGGACTTTGAAGGTCTTGCGCGCAATTCTAACAGGTTCAGAGTTTAGGGTTTAGGGTTAGGGTTTAAGGGCTTACAGGGTTTATAGGGTTAGGGTTTAGGTTTTAGGGCTTAGAGTTTTTGGATCGGGGCTGAGACTTGTCGAAGTGACCCCTCTTCACCACAGACTCCGTCAGCGAGATTTCTGAACACGGAAGCCCTAAATTCCAAAGCCCTGAACTCTGCAGGTTTAGGGTTTAGGGTTTATGTACCCTAAACCCTAAAATCCCTCAAGCCCCGAAGCCCGGACATCTCCTTCTTCCCTCTCCTAATCCCTCTTCCCCCCCTAATCCCTTCCCCCTCATATTAAAACCTCCCCGCCCTTAAGGTTTAGGGTTGAGGCTTCAGGGTTTGGGATATTGAGCCTCCCCCCACCCCCCCAATATTAAATACAACCCATTGGTATAATGTAGTATACTCGGAATATTTAATACTAGGGGGGATGGGGGGGTTTATTAGGGGGAGGGGATTACTGCCAGCCCCCCCCCCCCTCCCAAAAGAAAAACAAAAAAGATGATGTTCTGAGTACTTGGCCCCAACATCAGGCTGTAAGGTAAAACCCAAGCCCTCAACCTTAAACCCTCAAACCCTGAAGCCCTAAACCCTAAACCTCGAACCTTTACCCCCCTGCACCTCCTGTCTGACTGAAACACTATATAACACTAACCCCTAGCCGTATGCCCGGATCATTCCCCCAACCTTAAGCGGTTTTGGGGGTTTAGCGGTTTAGGGCTTAGGGCTTATGGTTTTGGCTTAGGGTTTCGGGTTAAGGGCTCAGGGTTTAGGTTTAGGTCTAGGGCTGGGGTCTAGGGGTTAGGGTTACGGGGGTAAGAGTTTGGGGCTTGGATTTATGGCTTGGGGTTTAGGGTTTGGGTTGTAGGGTTTAGGGTTTTGTGTAGTAGATCATGACCCCGTACCTATACACCCCTAAGCCCTAAAACCTTTAAACCCGGAACCTTCATCGAACCTTCTGAACGCTTGACCATTTCAACCCTAAACCCTCACAAACAAGCCCAAAAGAAATCCAAAACTCTAACCCTGACCCCCAAACCCGAAACCCAAAACCCTAAACTCTAAACCCTACCTGGACCCCAAAAGTATGTAAACTAATGGCCTTTATGGCTACTATTATGGGTTTAGGGCTTTATGGCTACTATTATGGGTTTAGGGCTTTTATTTTACATACTTTTGGGGTGTAGGTAAACCTTAAATCTAAAGAGACTCTACTGGGAATCCCAAATAGGGAACCCCAAGAATATAGCAGGAATATAATGGAATATATACGGACCCTGGTAGGTATATTCCTATTATATACCTACTATATTCTTGGGGTTCCCGGTTTGGGGTTCCCAGTAGAGTCCCTTTAAAATCCACATAGCCATTGGGTGAAGCCTCGCCTTTGAACCCAGAGGAGCTTTGCAGCCCCACAGCGTCCTGGCTCAAAGAGACGGAGCTTCCAAAAGTGTTTTTAGGGTTTAGGGTTTAGGGTCTAGGGTTTAGGGTTTAGGGTTTAGGGGTTAGGGTTTAGGGTTCTTGAGGGTTCTTAGGTGTTCTTGGGTTTTTTAGGGGTGAAGGGGGGGTTAAGGGGCTTTTGGGTTTGGGGGGTTCGGGGTTTGGGGCTTAGTGTTTCGGATTTGTAGGTTCCAACCCTAAGGGTACAAGTACTTGATAACGGGTTGGGGAGTATTTGTAGTGCAGGTTTAGGGTAGGTGTACATGGTGTATGTCCTGGATCAAGGGTTTAAGGGTTCTGTTTCGGTATGGGGGGCTTAGGATCAAGGGTGGAGGGCTTAGGATTTGTGGTTTTGGCTTCAGGGTGTATGCTCCGCACTCAAACTTGCACTGAACCGTTGAGGAAGAGGCCCTGCAAAGTCCTGAAACCCTATATACCCTACCCAACGCTAAGCCCAAGGAGCATTGTTCTTCCAAGCGAGCCTGGATGGGGTTCCATATCCCTAAGGCTGCTAAGGGGTACAGAATTCTCATATACTACTACTAGAAACCCTAGGTAGGGAGTATAAGGACATCAAAGTTGATTGTGGTAGACTGGATCCTTAGGTTGTTTGTTTGGGACACCAAGCTCCCTGCGCGCATGGCTCCACGTCAATCCTCGTGACACCAGCTCTTTCTATGTCAAAGGCTTAAACCTCGGGCCCTGTAATCCCGAGCCCCCCGCCCTGTATGCCTAGTATATGCCCTCTATGTGTTATCTATGAACATCTATGTGTATATGTGGGACCCCAAAATCTTCCCCACCAAAAGGCGGAGGGTCCATATGATGGGGACATACTTGCTACTTATATAAGACTATGCGCATCAACCTCAGTTGCTCCCGTAGAGTTTAAGGGTGTAGGATTTAGGGTTTAGGATTTGGGTGTTAAAATGCATAGTTGCCAGCTGATGGTTCGTTGGGGTTTAGGAGTTCATGTATGTTGCTGGTTATATAAGATACCCCAAACAGGGGTGAACAGCACCCTCTTGATGTTGCTAACGTTCGTTCACTCAAATGCGTCCTTGGGTATGTCTACCGCGAAGGTGTCTATTGGATGCAATTGCATGCAGATAGGTCTTTCCATGGCCTGAACGAAGCTGTATCTCACTCCCTGCGAAATGACACCTTTCAGGTGTCCTGGCAGCGCGTATTTTTCCCAAAGCGTGCTGTGCCCACGCGGGTCGCGTACGCCGAACTCCTTGCATCGGTGAAGGCGGGGCAGTGCTCAGGGCGTTTGCGGGTGAAATGTCCTTGAGAGTATGATAGTTTCCATAAATAGGGGGACCCCAATTAGATCTCAAAATGCAAAAGTCCATCTTATACTGTACCAGTCTCAATACAGGAGTTAGATGCTTTAGGGGTAATGCCCCTGGGATGGAGAATCAAATGGTCAAGTAAATGCAGCATGAGATGGAAACTGGGATTGTATCTAAAATTGAAGCTTTAATTAGGGATAGGGGTGCGTTGTCGGCCAACAGAAAAAGATTTAGAAGCTAATGGTACAAATGTAGCAGACATGACGAGGAAAGTTGGTCGGAAGCGTCGCATTTGAAAACGTATGAGTGAGTGCGATAGTTAGTTGTCTTGAAAGCAAATGGTACCTACTTAGGCTTCAAACCCTAAACCCTAAACCCTTCTTTTAATCCCCCGAAGGGACTTCCGTAGGCTACCTCAACTGTAAGTGAAGTTGTAGGTTTAGGGTTTACGTAAGCAGTTCAGGGTTTAGGGTTTATAAGTAGTTGCCCTAAACCCTTTGCTCTAACCCCTAAAGTCCCTTGAGAACCTTCAAGTAGCAATCCCGTGAGCTCCCCCAAGCAGAAGCCTCAAGCTCAATCCCAGGAGCTTTAAAGGTCAAACACAAAAGTCCAAAGCCCCCAACCCTGGGCCCTGTAAGGGTTTAGGGTTTAGGGGTTTGAAGGATCTCTTGACTTCAAGAGTCTACTTAGTAACTTGGGGTATAGAGCTTAGAATAGAGTTTTTAGGGATGGTAGATAGATTTACTAAAAGATCATCCACGTCGGCACTACAAGCCCTACACTCTTGCGTAAATATACTTACGTAAGGCCTGGGAGGCCAGCCTGGATGAACAAGACTGTATCTATATCTATATCTATATCTATATATAGGTGGTTGTCAAATTGTTGCTTCTTTTTTGGGTACACTAAACACTAGGTGCCGTATTCTAGAAGGGACCCAAAAAGGGACCACACATTTGACAACCACCCATTGTTAGGAGGTTGCAGAGTTTCATAGCAGAGAACACTGTAGATTCCTGCAGAACCCCTCTATGTTTTTGATTTCCAGTTCATGCTCCAACCGATTCCCCACCTCAGTCTCCAGTGCTAGCCAGAGGTAACTACCCTCGCCTACGCCTACACGCAATCCCATATGAGTAGTATTTTGTTTGGGGATACTGTGGTACCCAATATAGAGTAAGATAATATCCTCCTTTGGGGTATAGTATTTTATATAAGGAATATAATCTTACTAGGTGATTAAAGGGCCCATACTAGACTGGAAGGGTTACATCCTACAACAACTCCAAGTTCAAAACCCCAAAATCTCAAGTTTAAGGGTTCAGGGTTCTTAAGTTTCAAGGGTTTAGAGTTCTTAAGTTTCAAGGGTTTTGGTTTGCGCCCTAGACCCCCAAGCTCATGCACTAGTGGGCGGCTGGCTGCTGCGCTTCTGCACGGCAGTCTGGATCAAAAATCCACAAGGTTTAGGGTTTAAGGTTTAGAGTTTAGGGTCTTGGTCAAAAATCCACCTTGCGGAGCACCCTGTCGGATGACTTCGAAACTCCACGCACATTTAGCGCTGGAAGTCACGCGGAGCGGCTTAAACCCTCAGCCTCAAACCCTAAACAACAAGCCCCAAACCCTAAACCCCAAATCCCAAACCCCAACCCCAAACCTCACACCCTAAGCCCTAACACGTCTCTGAACGATTGATCCGCGAGCTTCTGGAGCACTGCTGGCCCTCCAACCCACAAACTTTCGGCCCTAAACCCTGAGAGGTGGATCCCTATGTTACGCCGTTAGGGTTTAGGTTTTGGGGTTCAGGATGTAGGAGAAAGGGTTTAGCGTTTAGGATAAAGGTTTAGGAATAGGAAACAGGGTTTAGGGTTTAGGATAAGGGGTTGAGGATTGAGGGATAGGGTTCGGATTTGTTGTTTAGGGTTTAGGGTTTGGAGTTTGTAGCAGTACCCATATACCCTCCTCGACATCCCTCTGAGCATCAGAAAGAAATGCCTGGGAGATGGCGGTCAAACCATCTCTAGTCCAGTAGGGATTTCGGGTTTAGGATTTAGGGTTTAGGGTTTAGGGTTTCGGGAGTTATGGCCTTAGAGTATTTAAGGGAACCTTGAACCCCAAAACTGCATAGTCAGCAGGTTTCAAGGTGGGATGAAGGTAGGTGGGTTAAAGGATCCACAAAAGTAGACTCCACCACGTTAGAGATTTCCTATACCCCACATTTCTTTACCTACGACCTAACCTTATGAGCCTCCGATCTAGTAGCTTCAATAGTCTTTTCGCTTCCCTACGTATCCCTTCATATGTCCGTGCATAGTCCATAAACCTGAACCCTACTAGCCTCAAACCTAAGACCTAAGCCCTCCGCTCAACCTTGAGCCCGTGGCCCTGAACGATTGGGGTTCTCAGGGTTGAGGTTTGAGGGTTTAGGGTTTAGGACTTAGTAAGTCTATTTAGTAACATGGGGTTACAGGGCTTCTCATAGGTGTTATTCGGGACAGTAGCTAAGTCAAAAGATCATCCAGGTAAGGTCCTACGCGTGGGCCCCCAAGTATAGGACCCAGGATTCAGGGCCTGTACTGGGGGCTTGTAGTTCAAACTTTGGTGCAACCCTAAACCCTGAGGCCCTCTAATCCCCTAAACCCTAGAGACCCTAAACCCCAAAACCCTGTGGACCCTAAACCCCTAAATCATAACCCCTAGACGCCCACATCCTAAACCCTAACCCCCTGACCCTTAAACCCCTAAATCCTGAACCCTAAACCCTATATACCCCATATTCTATCTACCTAGACCCTCCTCCTACCCTCTATTCGGGCCTAAGTACCCACTATCAGAGACCATATATCCCCAATTAAGGGTACAAGGAGGGTCCTGGTTCTAATGTAGACCCCTGATTAAATAAACCCCCTCCCCTTAATAGGGATTATAATAGACGGGGTTTATTAATCATGGGTCTACATAAAACCCTAAACCCTAAATGTTAAATAGTAGTTTCCATTTTCTTTTCCATTATCCCAATCTAATCCCAATATAGCCCTAATATTTCCCCAATGGG